ATACACACATACACAAAGACACAGTGTGTTAGCTAGTTAGTAACCGCCAGTATAACTGTCTCTGTATCACCTGTATCACCTGTAGTCTCGTTGATCGTCGAGTGACTCGAGCGGGCCCCTGTAAATCTTTCATTTTTCCCTGTCGCCTGCAGGAGTAACCCAGTGGATTCTGATCGCTCTAGAGACTAGTCGAGTATCATATCTTTCTTCTAGGCTTTTCGAGAAGAACTCTGACCATCGAGTCGGTGGTATTCCTGTAGTGCGTTTAACATCCCAAGGAATCCAGTCACTAACGGCTTTTGTCCATCCGTTGCCCTTCATACGAATTACGTGTGCGGCCCACCTTATGTTCGACTGTTTAGAGTACAGAACAGCACCTTTGATTTTTAACCGTTGACGCCGGTCGGAGCGTTGGATCCCTTCCCTTACTTGTTTGAAGCTTTCATCCTGCTAACGCAGCGACCAGGTTTCTGACGTATACGTTAGGGCAGGAAGTACCGTTGAGTCGAAAAGGTGGGCACCGAGTCGGGTGTTCTTATCTACGTACAACGTAAAATTGCATAAAATGCCTAACGGTAAAGGCAGTGATTGCATGAGTTTGGGTACGGTTAATCTAATCTCTTGGAAAGAGTGTGCTGCGAATACATTAGCGAAACGGGTGAGCCACTGTATTCTTATAAAAAAAACATCTAGACGGAAAGCTTCATGTTGAACAAAATGCTCCACTAGCTGTGCATTGGTCATAGACACATAACGGAGAAAATTTTGAAGTAGTGGCCATAGTTCTTGTACAGGAATTTAAAAGCTCAGCGTGTAAAACCTTCGAAGCATTTTGGATAAGTTCTAAGTATCGAAAAATTAACCGTAGAGAGGATGCCTCATTATCACGCGAGATACCACACAGTATTTAGTGGCTCATTACCTATACACATGGGCTGTGCAGTGTACAGTTGGTCTCCACATGGAATACATAGTGGAAGAGCCACAGAGAACGGCGAATGTTTCACAGAGAACGAAATGAGAAACCTTTTTCATATCCGATGCTATTGAAAAGTGGGCGGATAGCACAGTGGTAGTGATGTCGGTCACCAAAAGCATGGTGTTAGTTCGATTTCGCTCCATGCCAACCAAGCCTCTCATCTCTCTGGGTTGGGAAATTGCTATCGGACTTGTCCGAGAAAAAATCACTCTCTGCAGTCCAATTGGGAACGCTCCAGCCCGGCTATCTCAGCACTCTAGGGAGAATTTCTCGACCAGCGTTCGACGAGATCCAAAATGAAATGAAAATACTCAAACAGCAACCGAAGCCACAAGTTAAAACTGGAAGATCTCCATGGACAATAGATGCATGGAAACGAATCGAATGTGAGAAGTGCTGGGGTCCACACAGTAGACGTGAAAACGTGTTATACAAAATTTAAACAAATACTGTTGAAAGATGTGTGCCGTAGTTTTTCTCCTGGGGTTATTGGAAGTATTTGGTTGGACAGAGTGCAGTCAACGTTAACTTTCCAGGTTATGAAAAAACCGAAATCTGCCGGAACCTCATCTGTTGTGAATAAATAACATATAATGACAACCTCATGTGCGCTTATTAAGAAGATATCGAAATAATTATCAAAGCCGAGGTCAATAGAAAGTTGGTCATGGTAATTACACTATTACCTCCTGGAATACAGTGGTTCATAATCTACCAGTATTTTCGTATCTAACCCATTGTATTCAACGTATGCTGGGTGTCATGTGTTAGAGGACGGATTTGCTATATTTCATGCTATAGTTGTATATCCGGTTTCTAAAGCAAAATGATTGATAAATCTTTTCGTCACGAATCGACTCCATGTTAGTATGTTTTTTCTGCATAGGAGGAAAATATAAATCGACGAAGATAAACCACGCCAGAAAAGTGGTTATAGATGACTTGAGACCATCGCCGATGTCAATAAAGCAGACCCTCGGAAGCTGTGCGACCACCACCAGAAAAGTAAATGTTCAGTTAGACGATTTCCCAACTCATTTTGGAAAAATACTGATAATAATACAACTCGAAAGTAATTGTTTAGTGATACAAAGGTTAAAGAAAAATTGGTTTTGAAATACTGTTTCGCTGTATGCCAGCTGATACCTACATCTAACTACTTCTGCACTATGGATTGTCCGGAAACTCGTCCTCGACCACAATTATACGCTCTTTGAGATGCCCACTTGTCAACACCAAGAGAGTCACTGTTGCACATTCGCTTCATTGGTTACCTCAGAGAGGCTGACAAGAAATTTTTATTTCGATACAACCACGACTGGGACGTCGGATACTCCCATTACGTTTTGATATTGGGATTAAACCGAGGAAAGCAAAGGAGCGCTGTGCACTAGAATTCGAACTTCTGACGATATGCGGGTTTGCAGCTCAGGTTTACTTTGTTAGAGGCAAAGTGTTTAAAGGGAAACTAAAAATGGTGTTGTGTGGTATAATGGCATGAATTAAATAGCGCTGTAGTGTTTTTTCTAGCGAACTAATCGCCTACTTCTTAGCGTTCTTCTGAAGTTCTCATAAAATCTTCATGGAATTATCAGCTCGCATTGAAGGTATTCGATTTGTAGAATAAATGACATATTCCTTGGATGGAATCGACTGGATTGAATCCTTGATTTACGTCAAAGATATTGCTGACGATTGCCAGACTTTTGCTATTCCGTTCCCCTAGTTCTTAAATCATAGAACCATTCTAGTGAACTAGCCTCAGTTCATCTTGGAAAAAATGTATTTCAGTATTTGGATTCGCACACTTCTCGGAATTGCAGAGGAATCTAGACGAGCAACACACTAATTAAAAACAGCGTACGTTGGGATACACAGGGTACTTCAAAAGACGGATCATTCAAATGCTCAGCTACTGGATAATAAGATTTCTTGAAAGGCATAGCTTTATGTGGAAATACCTTCCTCTCGTAACTAGTCAGAGAATATCTTCTACAAAAGTCCGAATTTCCATACCTCCTAATTCTAGTAGAGGTGATGAGAAGCTTTATCAGAAATTTGTAACATCAATAGATCAATAGGAAACTTTCCCATATCTACACCTCAGGTAAAATGTATTCGGAAAGTGGCGATATGGTAAGAAATGCTTTGCGCCAGAACATGTACAACTCGATAAGGTCTCAGCTTATGACAAGGCCATTCCAATGTCTGGATACCAGCTTGGTTATTTTCCTTCTATCCTCAGTCTACAACTGACAATTGTTTCGAAAGTGCAAAATGTATGAATTCCATATTGGAAATGAATGGTTCACGGACCTCCTTCTGCCATTGGCAACGTTAAATTGGAGCTCTCCTGCAAGAAAATATACCCGCGTAGTTGTTTGAGAATTTACAGAAGGACTCACTGCAAACGTCCAAGCTGTTTCGAAGAATCCAAAGAAAATTTTGATGTCAAAGAAGCTCGACAAATGGATGCTGCACGAATTGAATGACACAGAGAAGTCCCCATCTTGCGGTATCGTCGACACGCTAGAACGATCCGTTTCTCGACCGCATTGTGCCCTTCGATGAGGCATTAGCTCTCTGTAAGGACCAACAACGATCAGCTCAGTGGTTGGCCCGCAAATAATCCTCGTAACAAGCCGAAATTCCATCGAAAAAAGGCTATACTGTCCAGTCATTTGCTGCTAGTTTAATCCATCGTAGCCTTTTGAATTCAAGTGAAATAATGACGGCGGAGAAGTACATCCAGAAAGTCGACGAATTGTGCAATTCTTTCCCACGACAACGATCATCCATACATCCAGATCAGCAACGAAACGCTGCACTATTTGCCGATCCCCTACCGAATACCACTTTTTCAACCATCTCGACAACTTCGTTCAGGAGAAGTGCTTCAGCAACTAAGCCAAAGGCAAAACTGTGTTCAACGACTTCATCGCCTCCAGAAGATCAGCATTTTAAACAAACCGTACAAGTAAACCTGTTTCTCGTCAGTAAAATATGTAAATTCCACTGGTTTTTATTCTGATTAATGAGACTAGTGTTTAGAACTGAAATATGACACGTTGAAAATGCAGGTTGAAATGCGACATTTCTCCTGCTGACCTGATGCATCAGTGGAACCTCGATCAGCACAAACCGAACGCATCGCATATCGCCTAGGGCTTCACTCTTTTTAAAACTTTCCAACAAATTCAAACATCTTGCTTTCATCACAAGTTCGAAAGTCATCTTCAACTTACACAGCTGGGACTTCGCTTTTGATTACCCGATACTTTGAAGCAGATAGCAAGGTTCTCATTCCACTACAAGCATTCTAGATAACTGCTCTCTGAATTAACAACAGTAACTTTTACCAACAATTTCATTAGAAGCAAGATACACACAAATCTCTCATTGAGCACATAAAAACAACGTAGGAAATTCTGAAGGCTGTTTCGAAACGTGTTAGTTTTAAAATAGTCACGCGTCCTAATGAGGACAAAGTAAATTAGTATATCATAAGCAAATCTCTTGCATGGTTCCGTTGATACGTAAAGGCTTAAGGAGATCGAGCAATCCACATCTACCGTAACTATGGAGCACTAAGACGCTACTAAATTGACAACATGAGAAAATGACCAAATTTCAGCTTGCAACTCAGGAACTAATATTTTCACGATCGATGCTATTAAAACTACTCAAGGGATATAACAGGAAAGCTGCTAAATGATTTCTATACGTTCTTTCAATGCCTAAGTACAACCAATGAGAGGTGGACAACTAGGTAATGATCGGTCAAGCTAATGAATCAATTTTGAATGAGAATATGCCTCAAACTTTCAAGTAACTACTGTAGTTATTGTAAAGTCCTTTCTTTTTTGTTAAAGTACTCGTATGAAAAAGATCGGCAACCTCAATTTGCGTTAGCGGTGAATACCTATCACATTTTTACTGAGGGTGTAAGTTGTTTATATTGTCAAGATTAGTAAGCGCGATTATAATTGGTATACTTGACTTTTCTAAAGATCGATGCTAACTATTTCAACGGAGGAAAATCTGTTGAACTGAACGATACTGGTGGAAGTGCAGTTCGTGGCGATCGCTTTTGTTGATTGGAACGACGTTTGTTTCGCGGTCCGCGAGTATAGTGAATCCGAGGTTGTTGTGGGATCTCAAATGGTGGACGTGGCGCTCCAGCACTGCCAGTTGTCAATATAGACAGCGGATCCGTGAGCGATAATCTCGAAGTGTCGTAGGATTGATTCGCCGACAGTAAAATCATCCATGCTTCCAGGGCTGAAGTGTAGAAATAAATATGCGTGCATGGTTCACACTATCCAGCTATGTGTATTTAATCAACCTGTTCCAAACGAAACGATATTAGCTACGTATCACCTAAACAATGAAGGTCGTTCTCACTTAGAACCATCATAAACAGCACAAAATCTTTGCATTTTCTCGACTCCTGTCCAGAAAATGGCATTTCCTTCTGTTCAAGCCAATAAGAAGTAACACCAACAATGTGACCTATGACAAAAATCTTACTCATATCAGGAGATATAACTTGACTTAAGTCGGCCGAATACGCACTAGGACATCTGAAATTGGAAAAAAATCTTCACATTTCACAAAAATGATACACTTCAAAAATCCTCTAGAAATACTCACAAGTCGGACAGCATTGTAGGTGTTACAGTTGACGTTTCAGAAGATGAAAGATAACTTATCGAGCTAGGAGCAAGCTTTTCGACAACACTTGTGTCAAACATGGGAGAGCTAAGATTACACAATTTATTCCAGTAAAAAGAAGCCACGACATTACCAAACAAAACGAACCTTTTAAGATTACTATGTTGTACACCAACCAACGGAATGGACGGGTTCGAACGCGCAGATACGGTTGGGATAGTTGACGAATTTTTCTGAGGCTTTCGTGACGAAACAGGCTGGTGAAGAGCGCGCGAACACGAATTCTCCTTCTTGAAAATTAAAGTTTGTTCCCGCAAAAATTCTACAATATCTAGCTCAGGGCATTCCTAAACTTTGTTTCGGTTACCTGATCATCAAGGTCCGTTAATTCTTGTGACATCGATAGTAGGGAGCAGAGTAGACGGTACCTGTTACCACGACGCAGACGTGGTAAAAGCAAGCCATGCGGTAACTGAGATGAATCATCTCGAGAAAGAACACTCCCAAGAATTATCTCAGATCTAAATATACGAAAACACAGTGATGACGAGAACACTGCATTGATCCGAGAACACTTTTAATGATCTCAATTCAGCAATTACTAAAGCAAACAGAAAAGAAGGAAATTACCAAGAGAAACATTTCAATGCAAACTCACTTTGCCACGGTATTCCTGTGCAAGTGTACAACTGAAACCGCAGGAGGTGTGCATGGAGAACGTGATGGTGGCATTTTGATCGTACTCCACGGAAGATGATTGTTGGTCAGAATAGTTAAGGATGGCCGTCCAGACGATACCCACAGATCCACCTATCATAAATGAAGAAGTAAAGTATTCAAATTCATTAATATATGAAGTAAGCATAAGATTTCACCAATGAATTAGCAGCTCCCCAACTTGTTAACGCTTCATTGTTGCTGATGTCAAGTAGACGAAGATGAGGTGATACACGAACAACCTCTCTCAGTATATCAGTGCTTACATTCGTTTCTTCGGCAAGTAGTAACTATAATTTTCATCCCATACAACGAGTGAAAATAAATAAACACAGTCTCGAACCCTATAATCCATTTACACAGATGTTTACCCACCCTAATCAGTCGGCCTTCCTCGGCGATTTTTAGAAGACCAGATGAAATATCTCGTTTCGTGATGCCATCAAGGTTCAAACTATCCAATTTCGTCATCCGCGCCAACCGTTGTAGTCCCACTCTTAGATTAAAATCGTTAGAATTTTGATTCATTAAGAAATTAGGTAAAATAATCCACAAAGTGAGCACTGAAAAAAACTCAGAAAGTTCAACCAAGCTTACGAGCTGAAGTTGAAACAAAACGCCAACGAAAGACTTCTGATACTACGAGCTGCCGGATTGTTAACAGCATCACTTAACTCCTAGAAAAAAATGAGTCAGTATGACTACAACGGTGCTAATATATGAGCAAACCTCGGAGCCACAAATGGGCTTTGAACCCGCAATTACCCATTACCCCTGCCAGGGAACCATGTGCTCTCCAACATACCAATCAAAGCAAGGGTCATGGTTACTGTGGTGAATAGCACATGAACTCCTGGCAAGGGTAACCCCGGGTTTAAAGCCCACCACCAGAGTTTCCGAATTTCGCTCATATCTTAGCGTACCTATTGGTTATATCTGACATTTCCACCTGTCTTGAAAAAAGAACGGGTAATAAAAGAAAAGCTAAGATAGTAAGTTGATATGGTCGTTTACAGCACTAAACAATGTTTCATCCAAACATTGCGATAACAAAAACGCCATATTTCAACGATTAAGGTAATATTACATGGACTTAAACACAGATAACTTCGAAAGAATCAGCACAACAATATTTATAAAGCTATACGTTGTATAAAAAACAAGCGAACATCAAAAAGGATATCGTACCGTAAGAAAACGATCCGTAACAGCAGAGATTCCTTCAAGGCATAGGTTCTGTAAACGGGGAAGGCGTGCAAGATGTCCGAGAGCGGACGCAGAAAGTTCTGGAAACACAACCAAACAAACGCTTCTACTACATTCATTTCCTTATAAACCGATCTTCTTAAGCTGGCGCAAGTCTGGTACAGGTCTTCCTTGTCGTTGTCGTTGTTTTTGATGTTGTTGGTCGATGGCTGACGTTTCGGCTACTTCGCCTTCCTCAGAGCCTAGACGTATTTATATCAGAATGTTTTATTTTTCGGTGGAAAAAATGTTAAAGTATTAATGAAGAGCGAACTTTCAAATAGACGCCATATTGAACAGAAAGGCCATTCACCGTGATGTTACGTGTGGGACTGGCCCACACGTAGTTCACGTGGGGTCACGAGCAAGAAACACCCTGGGGTCAAAATATCATTTTGAAATATGGTGCCAGGTCACGCGTGATAGTGAGGCATTCGTCTTTCCGGTTCATCTTTGGATTTTTGAAATTTATCCAAAACGCCTCAAGAGTTTTGCGCGTTGATGTTTTTGATTCCTGCGCTAGGATCCGCACTTCACTCCAAAACCATCGCCGTTGTGCTTTTGTGTTCTATGCGTACCTAGAGGAGTGTTTAGACGGATTTTAACTTTTCCATTTAGATGTTCTTTTATGCGGACGCCATTAAAAAGTGCTTAAGAAAAAGTGGTCTTGAAAATTATGTAACGATTATTGACATCCCACCGAATACCCTACGCCGTCAGTTAGTGCGCAACCGTCTCTATGATCGTTTGTGCAGCTTAGAAAACTGTATGATCTGTGCTAACGGGAGAGACTGGGATCGCATGAGTTTGGGAATAATATACTTGATCTCATGTAACATGCGGCGAGGAATATATTGGGGAAACGGGTAGACCACTTTGTGTCCGCACAAAAAACATCTAGATGGAAAAGTTAAAATCCATCTAGACAGTCCTCTAGGTACGCATAGAGCACAAATGCTGATCCTAGCGCAGGAATCAAGAACATCAACGCGCAAAACTCTTGATGCGTTTTGGATAAATTTCAAAAATCCAAAGGTGAACCGGAAAGACGAATGCCTCACTATCACGCGTGACCTGGCGCCATATTTCAAAATGATATTTTGACCCCGGGGTGTGCCTTGCCGGCGACCCCACGTGAACTACATGTGGGCCAGTCCCACACGTAACATCACGGTGAATGGCCTTTCTGTTCAATATGGCGTCTATTTGAAAGTTCGCTCTTCATTAATACTTTAACATTTTTTCCACCGAAAAATAAAACATTCTGATATAAATACGTCTAGGCTCTGAGGAAGGCGAAGTCGCCGAAACGTCAGCCATCGACCAACAACATCAAGAACAACGACAACGACAACGAAGATCTGTACCAACTTCGCGTCAGCTTAAGAAGATCAGTTTATAAGATCATATGAATAAATGTATCAACTATCTATGCCGGTGTTTATAGAAAGTCGGTCTTTCGAGTTACCTTCATTTTCTTTGCGAATCTCGCTAGAGCACATGCCAAGAATGAATAAACTAAGAATGGACGTCCGAGAAAATCACGAATAGGAAAGGTTGTTTGAAACCCTTATATTCTTAAAATTCAGTGAAGTCTCTCGTCATGATACCTAGATTTGGAGCGCTCGGATTGCCGATGATGGAAAGATCTCGCAGATTCTTCATATTGCTCACCAAACCACTAACGATCTGATCATTAAGAATTTTCAATTGCGAAAAATATAAAACCTGAAAACAAACAATGAATGTGTTATCAACATTGTGAGCGAGAATACAGCAAACCAAGATTGCTGTGCTAAAAAATTAAAAACTAGTAACCTTTAACTTCTTTAAACGTGTGAAAATATATCGCATTGAAAGCTCCGATAAACGCAAACACATCTCCAATTCTAGACGAATCAATCCTACAGGTGCTATCTAAACTGTATGGTAAGATAAGGCTACAGCATAATTAACTTTGTACTGAAGCTGAGCAATAGAATTCTTTACAGATAGAAGTGGTAATCATGAAAAACCGAGCACTCTATCGACAAATGGAAGTTCTATAACGACTGCACTAAGTAGTAATACCTACAAGAAATCAAGTTTAACAGCAAACCTGAAAACAATGCCCACTGAGATACTGAGCATCGATACATAGTACTTGCAGTTGTGGACACTGACGAAAAATCTATGATATGAGCAGAATTAGTCAGTACTTGACAGAAGACAGTTAGAAGTTCCACGTCTACATCTGAATTAAAACTAACAATACCGCGAACTACTCACCGTAAGTAAATCGGTGTCTCTTAGTCGATGACGCTTACAAATCAGAATATCGAGTTCTCTGAGATTAGAACACATCTTCACTGCAGTGATAACGGATTGACGCCAACTCCACTGAGTACACGCCTAAACTACAAGACAACTAAACAATGAATTTGGGCACAACATACCGAGATTATCATATGGTATCAGAAAGAAGCAGGCGTACAAAAATCATTTTGATAGGGAAACTCACAAGTGCAATGAGAAAAAAGAACCTCACCTCATCCTCTACTGACCGGAACAGATCAAAGTTAATAGCAGTTATCTTCGATCCATGGATGCTGAGAAAATACTTGATACGTGTGTCACTGAGCTCGTCGAGCTGTGTTTTATAGAAAGCAACGGAGTTAATCGAACGATAGACGCTATCTCGTAGGGCACGGCAAACAGGAGCCACTGCCAACGTGCGAACTAAGAGATACAACATATTTCACAGTAAGTGACTTGTAAGATATCAGACAACCCTTTTAGTGAGTTTCATTGCCTCCCGATGTTTAGAACAAAATATAATCATGGTTACAACACCAAAAAAGAGGCTGAACATGACGAAGATAGATTAAAAGAAAAAGAGCGAAAGACAGATTCCAAATTGAAGTTGTATCCTCTCTAACTTATTAACGATCATTAAATGCTTAAATAATTGGACAGCACTACAGGGGGTTAAAGGTACTACTTTAGATTAATCGGAACTATGAGAGTTACCAGAATGGACACTCGTGTGCACACTTATAGTTGCGCTTCCACATTCACAAATCCTGCACCCTGCCATTTGCACTCCCAATTCTTAGCAGACTCACATGAAAACAAAGACCTAGTGCCTCCCTTATCCAATACCTACAGTAGTTAATTCATAAGGAAAGTGCTAATTTAGGATCGTTGTAAATCAGTCGAATTGCAGGCATCTCTATAACACTACTTATCTAAACTGAAGCGCACTATACTCCAAACGACCCATTGTATATTAAATCAACCGCCAACCAACGCTTTTTATTTTACAAGTTTTTATTTTATTTTACAACTACAGTGATGCTGAGGCATATGCGAAACTCCGGACCGCTGGTGTCTGTGGTGGGAACGAACGCGCTATCACCCTTTTCGGGTCCTAACGCGTTCACCACCACACCATGCGGGTTTTTTACTCCATTTATCCTATTACGTGACCCACATCATATGAACTGTGCGAACCCCAGCACTTACATTCGGTTCCTTTGTTTTGCACTTATCGTCCACACTGGTCTTCCAACATTCTGCACGTTGTTTAAGTTGCTGCGTCAGAACTTCGTCTTCTTGATGAATGTCACAGAATGCTAGTCGAGTCAATCTTCCTTGAAATCTTGGAAATAGCTGAGGTAAGGCGTTCCCACGTAGGTTCGTGTTGGGGAAGGATCGAAGAAGGACCTTGATTCCTGATGGAATATACCACCAACTCGACAAATAACCTCCCCAACCAACATTACGCTACCCAAACTAATTAAGCACTTCTGTTTTCGTTAAAAAAAAAACTGATTAAGGTACGCTTGGAAAATTACTCGTCGCAAACAGAGTGCACAGAGCACATGAAGAGACGGTATACCTGCAGCCACCAGCTAACCTTCGATGCGAGTTGTACCATTAAAAAGCAACACATTCATCATTTCTACATTAGTTTCAAGTTGATGGTATATTTAAGATGCTTGTTTAGTTGAATAAGTATGACGCTGACACTAAAACACTGTAGGCGCGTGTGGCGCAGTGGTCGAAGACGCCTTGCAACACACACTTGGGAACAATCCCCGCGCTCCTAGCCCACCAAACTCTCTATCCCTCCGGGGCCGGCACAGACTTTGTCCGGAAGGATAGCAGCACTGGCTCGATACATCGGTAGGCCACCGCGAGTCATTGTAAAGGCCAGATATGCATTCACTCACTTCCAAGCGATGCTTAGTGAGGTCGAATGCGTGGCGCATCCCTGAGAATGATCAACGCCGACATCTTTATTCTTTATATTTTATGACGCTGACAATTTGCATGGTGGACTAGTTTAAAGGTGATAATCGACAAAGCATACACATCATGCGGTTTTACACTAAGAGAATCTTAGTGCTAGTCATCTATTCTCCCGCTAGTGTAGCTTTCATGAATTTGTATTCAGCCACAATTATATTTGGCACCCGTGATGAACGAAGGATGTCTGTAGACTTTTCAAAACAAGTAAAATCGAAAAACCGAACCTTTGAGCGGAATATATGAAACAATATTGTCTAGAACGTTGTTTGGCAACTCGAACAATGGTGAAGATTGTTTCTGAAAGTGGACATCTTGTTCACAAAAATCTAGCCAAGAAAGAGCTCTTGGCTCTTGAAACGTACCGTTTCGTTATTTTGTGAGGTCTGGAATGTCGAGAAGAATGGTGCTGTTAGTGTATCCATGTTATCCAGTACTGATGAGAGAAAATCAAACGATGGCTTCGAGTTCATCTTACTGCGAAGCCGCCGAGCGGCAGCTTTGGAAAAAAACTGAAACGTAACTACACTAACCTTTTACCAGAGTTCTAAAATAAGCAGGTGTTACAAACTTCTATGAAAAGCAAATTACTATTTAAAAACTGTTTCTTACTACATAAAACTGAAAAGTAGGCGAAAATGAAAGGATAAAAGTAACGACGACACTCGGAAGGTCAAACAGAGGAATACATCGTGAGTTATAGATTGCAGCTTCACCTTAAGTGAGTTTAATGACACTTTCTTCTCTGCAGAGCATTCCCACTGACGGAGGATTGCTGATGGCACGATAAGGCAGAAAAATGGCTGAACGAAAGCAGAGCAAGGGCCTCAGTAGTGCAGAGGACAGCACGTGAGCCCCCGGAAAGGGTGGTCGCTGGCTCGAAACGCACCTGGGATTCCGAGTTTTACTCATTTCTTAGTATCCTTGCAATTGTATTACAGATAACACTCTACCATAAAAGAAAGATAGGCCATAAGTAAAAGTTAAACATAGTCATATTGTGGGTTTTTTGGAATTCAGATAAAGCAGCAGAGGATAAATAACGACAGACAGAAGCACAATCATAAAGCCATCGTGCTAACTTAAAAAAGGATAGTTCGAACTCCATATCCATATACTTGGTAGCTCATACCTCGAAAAATTTGAACTACCCGAAAATGGTAATCGAAACCGCAAACAGAGCGCCATAAACGGAAGTTCAACAGAGTCGTACCTACTCCCTTTCGCTTATGTTGCTTCAGATTTCGCTTATGTTGCTTCAGATATTCACTAACGTCTTACATCCTTTGGACTTTAAACGTCAACAATTTCGTGATGGATTCAAAAAAGAAAAAAGTACGAGAAATCTTGCTTCGAAATAACTCCGAAGACTTTTGAGATGAAGGAAGAATTTGGGCAAGCCGGCGATAGACCGAAAACTTAAAATGCTCTTCTTAAAGTAAACATTAAGAAAATAACGATATGGAATACAACCCTCCCACTTAAGATTTCTATAAGCTCTCGTTTCCTTAGGATGGCGTAAACAAAAATAGAACAATCATGTGGTACGTAAATGCGGACATCGGGAGCGGAACACGACGGCATTTTTTAAAGTGATATCCTTCCTATTTTGTATTCACTATTATTATTAGTATAAGTACTGGATCTATATAAGTACTGATTGACCTTATGTTCGGTGATTACTGGATGTATGTTTCTCGATTTATTACTTACTGATTGCCTAAAGCTCGCTAAAATTTCGATCTTTTCACTATTTTGCATACCCAGATGTCAGGGTTTCCCTCGGGTCGTCGTTTATTCCCTTTTAATTTTCATCTGTCCAGTGCCTTGTCATTCTTGTAGCGATTGCCAAGGTATCACGCACGGTAATCAATAGTTTTTGGCACTTTGCTGTTATAGAGAACTTCCCTCTTGAAAAGTTCTCTATCTACCTAAACAATCGTGTTTGATGCCGATACCATGGTCGTCTCGCAGCCGCACTCCACATGCCGCAATGTAACCTTTGTGATCTGCTCGGTCAGTGTTTCAGGCAGTCCACTTGGGTCGCACAACAGCGATGGCGTATTCGAGGGTGGAGGCGTAGCAGTAGAACAGTTTCTTGTTGCTTTGTGAATCAACGAAGCCAATAAGGTTTGATGTTTCAGGTAGTTTGGTATACAGTCAGCCTAGGATCAATGATCCAGATCAGCCGCGGTTACATATGAATATGCGGCTTCTGCAGCCTATGTAGTCATATGCCATCGACGACGGAGGCATGCCATCATCCACGTTGCTCACGATCGCTAGTGCTGATAATACGTTTCTTCCATCACCATTCTCAGTTTTCATCTCTGAGTATCTTTCCTCCTTACAGCTCTCCATAATTGCATCCTGACCACCTTTCGCGTTTTCGTTCCTCACTTTACATTAAGTCCTTAACTTATACCACTTGTATTCTTGTTATTCATCGAAGAACTGAAATTCGAACCATTAAAGTCCACCTGTCCCGGCGGCAGTTAGTTGCATAGGAACCTCCCAGTGGGATCCTTTAGAGACGAAGAGCATTACGACTTCTATAATAGCTAGTTTACACTTCAGACAACACAAAATTGCCCACAACTTGGAACCTTACCTAGGCTTCGAACCTGCGATTACGCTTACAGGAGCTCACGTGCTATTCACCACACCAGCCAAAGCCAAAATGTTGTAACTTCGATGGCTTAACTGGGCAGTGGTGATTTGTGCGCCTCAGGCATTCCTGTTGATGAATGTTTGCCGTAGGCACCTATAGAGTAAAAACATAGCTGAAAAGCAAAGGAAGATTTTCGGTTGTTGTAGTGGATAGCACGTGAACCTTTGGTAAAGGTAGTCACAGGTTTGAAGCCCATCTGAGGCCCCGAGCTGTGCTGATATATTAGCATATTTGTGGTTGCCTCTAATTCGCTCATAGGTTAGGCTCGCGGGTTTCGAGCTTTTGGATGGATTGACATAAGAGATATGATCCTCATATACACAAAAGTACCGATGCATGTGTCTGTGAGTATTGCATCTATTCAGGTTATAAAAGGCAGTTTGGCGTTAAAGAGTGGAGGAGTTTCATTCACTGAATCATTCCTCTGTCTTAGGATAGGTAACTGGTCGCTCTTGGTCGACGACTGCTTCCGGTTCACAACAATTTATTTTATTGATGTAAATATTATAGGTATTTCCGGGTGCAGCACTGTTATGAGCTATATGAGCTTAAACACAACTTCTGCGGAGTTTGCGACAGCAACAAAACTGAATGGTTACGCATTTGTCGCCGATCTGCAGTGGTTACTTACCATTAGTGAGGAGCGCTTCCTTCTTGACACAAGTAAATGGTAAGGTCTTGTTATCACTGTCAGTTATTTGTTCATAATATTCAGTTCATGCGTGTGGCGCAGTGGTCGAAGGCGCTCTGCAACACATACGTGGAATCGATCCCTGCACCCATGTCCCACCAAGCCCTCCATCTCTCCGGGGTCGGAAAATTGGTACCAGACTTGTCTGGAAGGATAGCACCACTGGCTCGATAAGATATGCATCCAGTAACCTCCAAATGGTCCTTAATGAAGTCGAATGCATGGCGGATCCCTTGGGACTGGTCAACACCGAAAGCTTTATTCTTTATTTTTTACGCTCAGTTCGATTTCTTCTAACTTAACTCAAATGCGCAGGAGAGATCCTTTTTGTTCAATGGGTTTCGCTGCTATCAATTTATTTTTTTATATATTTTCTTTACTCCAAGTTGTATACAATTCATGAACTGTCATAGTTTAATACATGCCTGAATTCTTCTTATTCTCAAAGTTTAGCTACTTTTTTAAGGAATTTTAAGAATTGTTCCATTCAAGCATTTATTGTGCAGGACAGATTAATTTGGTGTGGTAAGCATTTAAGAATCAAATTCGTGGCAACTAACTATAATGTGGGGCGCGTTTGGCGCAGTGGTTGGAGGCCCCAATGCGACACACGTGGAATCGACTCCCGCGCCCATGGCCCATCAAACCTGCCATTCCTCCGCCGTCGGCAAATTGGTACCATACCTGTCTGGGAGGATAGCAGCACTGGTTCGATACATCGGTAGGCCACCCCGAGTAAAGGCCAGATATGTATTCAGTCGCCTCCAAACGATGCTTAATGAGGTCGCATGGCCCATCCTTAAGGGATTGATCAACGCTGAGAGCTTTATCCTTCATTTTTAAACTATAATGTGATAGTGTGATTCAGGTTTTTAGTTAAAATTACTATGGCGAAATATTTACAGTGTCTAAACACTTTTATTTATCTGACTCTAGCATCTATGTGAGAATTACTTTTAGTATTGTTTTTCCGATTCCAGAAATCCTCTGTGTCTATGTGTGGTGAAAGCAGTAGGTTTTTAGAGTCTAAAAAGCTAGATCTCTCCATAGAGTAAAGGACAAACTTCAAAAAATATTTAAAATAAAGCGTCGATTAACCCTTAGGGATACACCACGCATTCGTCACATCCTAGAGATGTTTGGATGATATGTATCTGACTTATGCAACGACTTGCTGTGGCTTGTCGATCTGCAGTCTCTGCTTTTGTACTCTTAGACAGGTTAGTTCCGGAACCTCGAACTACGGAGAGACAAGAAGCGGCGAAAATGCTTTGTTAATCTGGACACAGGTTCGAACCAGCGACCACGTTTTTATTGCAAGAACCTTTAGCTACTGTACACGTATCCACCCTCCTTGTCCAACAAAAAAGTCAACAAATAAAAACAACTATGTAGACTGTATGAAGAAATTCCACGACCGACCAAAATTTCAATCGTTTTGAGCACAGAATAGCTTCTTTGCACACTCACGGCTTTCTATGAGTCTTCTACTGAATATGTCACGTGAAGACCAACCGCACAGGGTTCACATAATTCTATGAAGATTATAAAATCCAAATTCCTTTCTGGTGCCACTACGTGAAGCTGACTTTGATTTGAGCTGTGTACCGCTTCACTTTTTTTGTTATCGCTTTCCCCATCCAATGGGACGTGTCGCTTCAAGAATCTAAGCTATAAACGTGAGTTTTTAGGGTGTTGGAAATTTTGGCATATTGTCCAGCAACGTGGGTACATGAATTTGCTGACGCTTCAGAGGAAGGACTTGGTACAAGTTCTGCTGATGATATTCCGGTAATGCTCACTACTTTTTTTTGAACATTTGGTTTTATTTCGTGAATATATATATATATCGCAGTTCTTCCATTTCAGCATAGTGCTAAGTCAGCATCTGTAAATCTTTCAAATCGGAACCTGCTTTTTGGTAAAAATCTTCTCATGAATCGAGATTTCGCTAGGGCATCGTTTTTCTTGCGAAAGACTGTATTGTTAGGATCCGTGGAACGATTTCTATATTATTGGAGTAAATATTTGGTAAGTTTTTCTGCTGCTATTACTTTTCTTACAAATCGCCCTTTACTTATCATGTATTTTTTTGCACAGAAGTATCTGTAGAAACAACCACAATGTTGCTGAGATATTTGCAAAACTCAGGACCGCAGGTGTCTATGGTGGGGAACGAACGCGCTATTGTGCTTTCTGGGGAGTGACGCGCTCACCACCACACCATAAGGGTCCTTTGTTTCGCCTGTCTCTCAGCTAGTTTTATCGATCTCTGCCATCAGCAATCACCAGCTGGCGGGAGTGATCCGGGGAGGGATGCAAATCGGCAACGAACTCAGTTAAGTTGACGCTGTAGTTGAAATTCACAATGTTGACCTTTTATTTATTGCCTTTTACTTGTTTAGCATTACCACCGCGATCACTTGCGGTCTGGAGTTTTGCAATTATGTCAGCAATCATTGTGGTTGTTTCACAAATAATACCCTGCGCTGAAAACTAGTAAAAGGCACTAAATAGAAAGTCAACGTTATCTGTGGAAAGTTGGCGCCACTTCGAAGTTTTGTTTTAAGGGTTGTGTACGAACTCGTTTGGAAAACGAAGCGGAAGCTATCGATAGAAAAGCCGTTGAAAACACTGATGATCGCGATATGGCAGAGCTTCTAAGTGAAATTGGGCGAGAGTCACGTCCACTCGATATGTTCCTTCTATATTTGTAGGTATTTCAATACCTTGGGCTGAGAAAGCTGTGTGGGAAATTGTACACCTGTTTTTTAAAATTATCTTATGTCTGACTGGAAATACTGCTCTGATGACATGGCGTCTCTTTATAATTTCTTAACTTATAGATGTACTTGTCTGTTTCTTAACAATTTCAGTATAATATGTAACTTTTATCTACTGGCCATTACTTTTTCACGATTGGGCGTTATGTAAATACGACCGCAGTGATGCTGAGATATTTGCAAAGCCTGGAGTCCAGATCAGATCGAACTACGATTACCTTTCCCGGGGGCGCACGTAATACGCACGATACCACTGATGTCCTCGTTCAGTCTGGCATAGAGTCTTACTTTTACAAATATCTCAGCATCATAGTGGTTATATTTCACATTATACCCTGCCGTGAAAGATAATAAGAGGTAGTAAATGAAAAGTTAACATTGTGATTTCGACTATAGCCTCAGCTTAGCTAAATTTAATGTCAATTTATGCTACCCAGATCATTCCCATTGACGGATGATTGCTGATTGCACCGTTAGTTAGAAAACCAGCTGAAAGAAAGCAAAGCACGAGCCTCAATGGTACAGTGTGTAACATGCGACCTACCGAAAGGGGTGATCGCGGATCAATCTCGCCTAGAGTCCAACTTTTGCAAGTACTTCAGTATCGTTGTGGTTGTACTTCACATCTGAGCATAGCTGAAAACGTTCATGGTTTGGTTTTTCTGTCCAGATCACCTATAATTCTGGCCGTTTTCGTAAATGTTTTAGGGAAGGGAGGATTCAAACCTCACTTGGAGTTTCACAAGCTGCTGCTGAAACAATGAAGGAAGTGCTAAAAATGGACTCTCGGTTTTGGCCAGCATGGGAAGAGCTGGTTCATTTAATCGAGAGTGTTGACGAAGTTAATGCTTTAGTATATATAATGAACTAAAAATGACAGGATTCTCCATCGTTGAATTGATAATTTAGATTGCTGCCTGCAAGGCTTTATGCACCAAGAGTTCAGACTCGTCATGGATGCCGGATTGGTTCGAGAGTCTAGCGTTATCGCGGTTCCATATGGATGGGTGCCGTCATTTATGCCTTTTCCTTACCCTCTGTTCTGCCTCACTTTTAGGAATGTTCTATCTTCTGTTACCGTCAAATCAGCTTGTGTTTTCAGCGAAGCCCTTAAAAAAGCTGAACTTCTCATGTCACGTGGTCTTCCAGGAATTCCTATGATCTTGACACAGGTCGCTGCTTGTTCAAATCATCTACATGGTAAGTTAACTTCTTAAACGTTCGCCAAATTCTTGAATATAAATTTGCAACTTTCTCCGAAGCAATGGACTATTTTTAATACTTCAAGATGTTTAGTGATTTCAGATGTCTTTCAACTTCTTCATCACTTGTTTCATTTCCTGTTAAAGTTTCGACCTTTTTTCAGATCATGAGAAGACGGTTGAACTGTTCAAATGCATTCGATTGATGGATCCGCTTAGAATTGATCATATGAATCTATATTCAGATTCACTTTATATTCGTGTAAGAATGGCCGTCTGGTGTTTTTCGAGAACAGTTTAAGAAAAGGTTGCACTTCACCTTTACAGGGCGATCGTGTTCAACTATGTGATCTAGCGCATTCGTTTTTTGAAACTCATAAGTTTTCATTTGAAACATGTTGTATAGTAGGTTAGTTACTATATTCCTTAAGTAACTTACTTACGTTAACTCCTATTCTCCAAGCTTAATTTCATACCAGGACGTATAGATTTTTTCAGGAAATTATTACGGCCTTCGTCGCGAAAACGAACAAGCAATTCGTTTTTTTCAACGTGCACTTCGCTTGAATCCTCGTGAGGCATCCATTTGGGTGTTGATTGGACATGAATTCATGGAACTAAAGAACAATGCTGCAGCTTGCATGTCATATAGAAGAGCAATAGGTAAGGCTTTCACTTTTTCACTTCCGAACTTCTCTGCAGTGGAAAAGTTGTAAAAAAATTAAAAATTGAACATCTAAAATGAATTCCTGATTTTTTCAAACTTAATCGGTAGCTGGTGTAACTTTTTCTCAATGCTGCATGGTTTTAAGAAGTGGATCCACAAGACTACCGTGGATGGTATGGACTCGGTCAAATGTACGACATCATCAAAATGCCTACATATTCATTGTACTACTATCAGCACGCTCATTTGTGCAAGTATGTAGCTTCCTTTTTCGCACGATAATTTTCTCCATCAAAAGTGCAAAGTTAATTTTTGAGAGTCACAAATTCTCTGTTCTTTTAAGACCTCACGATTCGCGTATGCTCGTGGCATTGGGTGATGTATATCAGAAAATGGGCCGGCTTCGAAACGCTGAGAAATGTTTCATATCTGCGTTCAAATATGGAGATGTGGAAGGTACTGCGCTGTGGATGCTTGCCAAGTTAGCTTTCAACGGTCTATGTGTTTTATAATTTTTTGTAGTTGTAGATGTGTTTTTACTCATATTGTCATTGTTTAATAATCATTCTCGATTTATGTCTGCAGTAAATTGAGGTTGGGCTTCTGAGCAATACCATTTTTGCAGATTCGATGTTCGGTATTGATTGTATTTTGTAGACGTAAATTTTAAGACTGTACGAATCCGAGAATCAAATGCAACGTGCCGCTTGTTCGTATGAGGAATATCTGCGAGAGTACCAAGACATTGAAGTATGTTTTTTTTTTACCTTGTAGTATATTATCTTAGAAGGTGAAATGATTAAAAGGTGAAATTTTACTTACAATCTTTCTTTAGGACACCGATGAGAACGTGGTATATTGTATTCAATTCCTAGCAAAGCATTACCTCGATCAACGTGATGTGGAAAAAGCGATTTTCTATGCTCAGAAGTGCCTTGATCACGATTCGGTAGTTATTTCGAATCACTCTTGTGAACGTAGCCAAGTCGTAATCATGTTAACTTGTTGATATGTGATTCTGAACAAGTCTTTTGCTGCGGAGATCTACGGAATAACTTTACATATTATCCCTTAAGAAATATTGTCTTAGATTTTTCCTAGTTAAGATCTCCGAAGAGGGTCTATTTGTAATGCGAACAGCCGAAGCGATGAGAGAATGTACAGCTGCTGATGTGAAATCGATTACGACAGCAGAAGACACATTCAGTTCGACTGCTCCTAGTTTTGATATTACCCAAGCGCCCAGGTTAGAGAGCAGCAGAAATTCATATTATTTATAATTTACACAATGTATTGTGTTCGTGGAGAACGGTTGCATTCCTTTATTCAGAGCAGATTTTTGTATTGTATCGGACCGCTTTATCCTTGGTCTTTGGCGTACATTTCCATCATAGAATTGTTATTACAGTGTGGACACAGCGGATGATTCTGAGATGATGATCTCAGAAGGAGAAGACGAACCATCGTTCTGACGTTTATCTAATGACTAGCCTGAACCATGTCACATTTTTGTCCGAAGACCTTGAATATATAACTTGTATCGTTTGCACAAATGAATATGAATAAATTTGCGGCTTGCTTCGGAAGATTATTTAGTCGATTTTAGAACGTTTATGGTCCTAACTACTGTATGCTGCAAGGTGAGCACTAATAACACGTTTGAAAGTGTACTACGTCTAACTACTATAATAGTTCCCAGGATCAACTTTCTATTAACCTCGGCATTGGAATATGAATGTGTCGTTTTCTTGTTCAGCAATCGCGAGGTTTTTAAACAGCATACATTTACTTCCATAAAAAACACAATGTTGGAATATGAATGTGTCGTTTTCTTGTTCAGCAATCGCGAGGTTTTTAAACAGCATACATTTACTTCCATAGAAAAACACAATACAATACTCCCAAGTCCGACTTTCTATTAACCTCGGCATTGATTGAATATATCTTTCTACTTCTATTCAGCAAGCACGAGGTGCTATTTTATTTCTTTATTTACGCACAAGCTGACGTTTCGGCGGATTTCGCTTTCCTCAGAGCCTGGAAGGGTCAAGTTGACAGCAATCCACTCGGCCAAACACCTCCATAACCAAACAGAGAAAACGTGGTTAATAACCCTAATGCTTACTCAGTTGTTGAAGTACATTCCAGCTCATCTAACGAACACCCAAGTGTTCCTGGGTCGTATACGTAACGCGCGACCCAACAGCGCGTACGTGGTGAAGTCCTTCGACGTCACTGCCCTCTATACGAACGTGTCGAATGACTCCGCTATGCAAGCCATAAACGAGGTCCTTATACAACACGAAGGAGCAATAAATATGTACGGCTTCTCGATTCAGCAGTTGATGACACTCTGAAAGGAGTGCCTGAACTGCTCAATCTTCAGATGGTCCGGGAGGTATTACGCACAAATGAGAGGGCTGGCAATGGGACAACGACTGGCTCCAAGCCTTGCCATTGCATTCATGTCTAAGGTGGAAGCGCCAGTAATCGACCTCGGTCCGTTACTCTACTGTAGATATATATATGACTGCTTGGTCATTTGTTCAACGCAAGAAGAAATCGACAGATGTTTCGAGTTGTTGAACATANGAGTCCTTCGACGTCACTGCCCTCTATACGAACGTGTCGAATGACTCCGCTATGCAAGCCATAAACGAGCTTCTTATACAACACGAAGGAGCAATAAATATGTACGGCTTCTCGATTCAGCAGTTGATGACACTCTGAAAGGAGTGCCTGAACTGCTCAATCTTCAGATGGTCCGGGAGGTATTACGCACAAATGAGAGGGCTGGCAATGGGACAACGACTGGCTCCAAGCCTTGCCATTGCATTCATGTCTAAGGTGGAAGCGCCAGTAATCGACCTCGGTCCGTTACTCTACTGTAGATATATATATGACTGCTTGGTCATTTGTTCAACGCAAGAAGAAATCGACAGATGTTTCGAGTTGTTGAACATAAAGTCAGAGTATATTAAATTCACCCGAGAGAAACCAAAAGACTGGCTTCCATTTCTGAACGTGCAAATTAGCCTCTCAGAAGACGGCTACATTACGAAGTGGTATCGAAAGCCAAGTAGTAAAAACATCCTAGTTCATTACCTCTCCTCTCATCCCTCTCACACGAAAAGGGCGCTTGTGAGAAACATGTATCGAACAGCTACCAGCGTGTGCACAGGGAGGCAACAGAGAGAGGAGTCCCGGAACTTGGTGTGGCAAATAGCCATTTTTAATGGCTACGAAACCATAGCTCCAGATAGGTGTAGAGGAAACCACAGGTAGCCCAACGATAACTCTAGCGACAACAAGGTCCCGTTTATACTGCCTTTCATTTTAAATGAAGTAAGTGCAGCTATAAAACGCTGTTCAAGAAGGGCCAGTCTAGAGAATTCGGTAACGATAATCGAAATACCACCGAATAATCTAAGGCGCCAGCTAGTTCGTAACCGCCTATACGACCGTCTATGTGCAACGCAAAATTGCATAATTTGCCCCAATGGTAGAGACGGTGACTGCATGAGTTCGGGTACAGTCTATCTGATCTCTTGTAAAGCGTGCGGGGACGAATACGTTGGCGAAACGGGTAGACCACTCTGCGTACGTATAAAAGAACACCTAGTCGGTAAACGTAAGTTAAGTACTCCACTAGGTACGCATAGCACGCAGAAACATAACGGAGATTTTGAAGTAAGGGTTACCATCCTCGCGCAAGAATCGAGAACACAAGCGCGCAAAACTCTAGAGGCATTCTGGATAAATTCCAAGAATCCGAAAATGAACCGCAGGGAGGAATGCCTCGTTATCACGCGTGATATTGGACAGTATATAAACCTGTTACTCTGATGGGTAGAGGCACATTACGCTTCCATGTGAATTCTGTGCGGTCGGTCTTCACGAGACATACTTAGTGGAAGACTCATAGAAAGCGGTGAGTGTGCAGAGCCATGCTAAATGTGATTGAAATCTTGGTTTAGCGTTTTCTCTGTTTGGTCATGGAGGTGTTTGGCCGAGTGGATCGCTGTCAACTTGACCCTTCCAGGCTCTGAGGAAGGCGAAATCCGCCGAAACGTCAGCTTGTGCGTAAATAAAGAAATAAAATAGCACCTCGTGCTTGCTGAACAGAAGTAGAAAGATATATACAATACAATACAACACTGATGAGCTGACACGAGCTGACACACACATGATATTTATTCATTTTCGGCTAACGTTTCGACGTCTTCGTCTTCCTCAGAGCCGATGATCCGAGTCGATGGTCCATACTTGTTGTTCGTCTCGACGTTGCAGCTTAGCCTTCGTGTCGAGTCAGGTTTTCCTCAGTGAGCCATCTCCTCGAATGAGGCATCCTTACTCAGTGATGCCCTTTTATACACGATGCTGATGGTCGATATAATGATAATGTCCGGTGATAACAACTTGTTTTTCTTCCGGACATACATCATAGCGCACATCGTGCAGAAGTCGGTGTTTTTATCAGCTAACACAAAGCGTAGTAATATTTCGAAACTGACTTTCCTTGAACCTCGGTATCAATAATATGTATTCTTTCTATTACTATATTCTATATATATTTCTATACTCTAACTACTATGTTGGGAACTCTACAACTTTAACAAATCTTTCCCATGCAATACTAATAGTAATATCAATAAGTAGAACTGAGTCGTATAAGATCGACGAACGTAAACAACTGAAGCTATGTTAGATTGAGAAACGAGTCCTACAGCTGCTGCTCAGTTTCTCGGACTGCAAACTCTGATTCGTTCCAACCCCACTTAGTCGATTACTTGTAACGAATGCTGTATGCACCACATACAATTCCAATATCGTTAAAAAGGACAACAATTAATACACCATTTAGCGTGCTGTGCTTTCTTGGGATCTCCTAATCTACTGCATTGCGATACTTCCAATCGTGACACTGGAATAAGTTGACGTGAAATCCGCTACATTGCGTGGGAATCCACTTGTTTGGAATAGATCACCGTCATTCTATTTAATATTAAGGTCTATTTATTAAAACAAGCATACACACGACATAATATGGTAGCAGAAACAGATGACATAATAATCTACAACATGGACTAGCCATACAGAATTACAGCTAAGTAAGACAGCTGCTTAAGAAATAAAGACACTAAAGAGGTGGTATTTTTCGCCTTATCCCTGTAATACTATATTAGTCGATACCGAGATTTTAATTCAGATACGCACCACATACAAAACAAATTGATATTACAGTGCGTTTCCTAGCCTGCACTGCTTATATGACAATTTATAACATTAATTAATTAAATAAGTGTAGCATCTAAATAGTATGCATAATCATCTGGCCCGTAAACGAAGAGCACTCGGTTAAACTGTGAAGTGCAAACAACCTTTGAATGCGAACACAGCGGATAGACGTAGCGCTTTAAAGGTAAGTCTATATCTTAACGTTGCTGATTGCTATGTCTATCACGGTATTCTGATACATATCTGGATATTTCGAATCATTTTAGAGCGTTTCCGATTCTTTTAAGCATCAAAGACGATGTTGTCGCTTTAAGGCAATAGTCCCAATACTCTGGCCGCCCGCAGATACGGTAGCATACATTAGATCGTCTTCACTTCCTCTTTACCGCTATTTAGTGAGTTCTGCGACGGGGAATTACTGACCAGCGCTTGCTCAATGACCGAACTCGGTATGCCGCCAACGGACTTCGCCTAAAATTTAATTTAACGGGTATTGTAAGACAGATTACACAAAAGGACGAGAACCGCAAGGGCTCGTTTCTTTTTAATCGACTAGTAACTGCGATGACAAATCTACCAAAATGGTATCACCTGTAGTCTCGTTGATTTTCGAGTGACTCGAGCGGGCGCCAGTAAATCTTCCATTTTTCCCTGTCGCGTGCAAGAGTAGCCCAGTGGGTTCTGCACGCTCGAGACTCGTCGAGCATCATATCTTTCTTCTAGGCTTTTCGCGAAGAACTCTGACCATCGAGTCGGTGGTCTTTCTGCAGTGCGTTTAACATTCCGAAAAATCCAGTCACTAACGGTTCTTGTCCATCGGTTGTCATTCATACGCATTATATGTCCGTCCCATCTTATCTTCGACTCTTTGGCGTACAAAACAGAATCCATGATTTTTAATCGTTGACGCAGATCGGAGCTTCGGATCCCATCCCTTATTTGTGTGGAACGGGATACTCTTAGCGTCGTCCTTCCGACTGTGCGTTCCATAACGCTGAGTGACCTTTCATCCTCCTTACGCATCGATCAGGTTTCTGACGCATACGTTAGGGCAAGAAGTGCCGTTGAGTTGAAAAGGTGGACACGGAGTCTAGTGTTCTTTAGGTAGATGATACAAGGTGGTAGATACCTCTAATTCCATCCTTAGGGTTTAATTTATGTCACGAGGAATAATATAATCATGTAGATCTATGAGAACGTCCGATATTATGTGGAGTTGAAGACTGCATGGTAAAGAGTCTTAGTTAACGAGCCTTTAAGGCATACTGCTACGGCGCTGTTTTACGTAGCCAACCCAATAGAATACCAGCAATTTTTCGTCGGCTGATGGTTTTCTGGTTTTTGGATGATAAAAAGTAATGTTTGAATCACTAAAGTGTTTTGGGAGCTCTGAATATGACAGAATTGTAGAACAGACCTTGCTCTACCGTTCTGTAGGTATGAGTGATATGTATGTTACAATTTACTATGCGTTATTACTTGGGATCGATAGCCGCGCCCCAGGTCCACTAAGTTTTCCAGCCCTCCGCGGTCGACAAATTGGTACCACAGTTGTCTGGGAGGATAGCAGCACTGATTCGATAGATCCGTAGGCTACCGTGAGTCATTGTAAAGGCTAGATATGTATTCAATCACCTCCAACGGTGCTTAATGAACTTGAATGCATGGCGCATTCCTCAGGGATTGATCAACGCCGAGAACTTTATCCTTTCTTTGTCCTTTTTTATGAAAATACACTGCTGTTAGCACTTGGAAGTATTTTGTACCCTATGTTAAATGTCCCTTGATGTTTTTTATATCCGCACATTCCATACAATGACCGTGGTGACTAAAATGAAACAACAGTTAATTTTTAGAGAAATTACCGGTCAACGGAAGTGGTTCTTTTGTAAACCACTAAGTGTAGGGAATGACAATGCGACAAAAAAATCTGGAACCCAATAAACTGAATATGGACACCATAGTGTCTATACGTCCATTTGATCCAAAACAAACACTGTATTATCCGTACAGGGCGTATTCAGAATGTGATCACGACGTTGCAATGTCCTATTACGTATTGACGGTCTTCTAGCTTTTCTTGAATGAGACAAATCTACAGATGCAGTTTCCATTTGAACTTACTTTTTTGGAGGCTCACCTCGAGTCAACTTATTTACCATGATAGAGGGAGTGTCGACCGAGCTGCTGAGTTTAAGGCAAACTATATATTAATTTTTTATTTTCACATGATCCATCTTCACGTCTACCGTGCAAATCCCAGCACTTCTCACATTCGATTCGTTTCCTCACATCTATTGTTCACGAAGACCTTCCAAGTTTCTACGTGTGGCTTCGATTGCTGCATAATAGATCCGTAGGCTACCTTTCATTTCATCTTGAATGTCGTAGAATGCTGATCGAGCAACTCTCCTTGGAGTCCTGAGATAGCCGTGATGGAGCGTTCCCAAATGGATTCCAGAGAGTAATTTTTTCCATACAAGTCCGGTACCAATTTCAGGACCTCGGAGGGATGAGAGGCTCTGTTAGCCCGGGACGGCATCGAACTAGTACCACCACGCTCGTGATAACGGACATCACTACCACTATGTTATCCGCCCCTAAGACAAACTATAATTCGTATGAATTGCTGAGATATTTGCAAAACTCCGGACCACAGGTGTATGCAGTGGGGAACGAACACGCGCTGTTGTCCTTACCGGGGAGCAGCGCACTTCACCACTACACCACAAACTATAATGGTCGCATATGTTTCCCAAGTATGTCTGCGAAGGATAACGAGTGGAAAATTTGACGTTACTAGGTTTTCTGGGAACCATTAAATAGCTCCCGTTCAAACTTTGGCGCTTTATTATTAGATAAGATTTTGAGTAAATGTGCTAAGCAACATAGCATTTCACTACACTGATTCCGGCCCTACACATTCTCATTAATGCTTTTGCGTTTAAACTGTCTTCTATTTAGAATATTAAAAATCCGAGCGAAATTTTGCAGAAATTGGAAGTTTAAAGGAAAGTCGCGGAAATGACTCTCAATGTCAATGGTTCACTTTGTTTGCCAAACAAAATTAGGGAGCAATATTGAAGTTCGTGATAGAGATGAGAACAATAAAAATGGAAGGGGCTTGACGATCCGCAGTCACCGACGATAGCCGGTTCGCTCAAGTTGTGTAAAGTGGATCGACTTAGAATTCTTCAACAGTTTCAAGAAGACTTAAGCTACAAGCCGAGAAGGAAACTAGTGTAGAGGTAAATCGAAAAAACTCGACAAACAAGTACCGCGATAACTACGGGAATAATAAAAAGATTTCTGCACAACCAAATACAATCCAATTGTCGACCATATTATGACGTTGAGAGTAGAATAAGTTTTGTACGACATAATGTTCTGTGCAAACAAGTGAATGGAGAAGGATGATACACCTAAAGATTTGTAGAATCCAAATTCTCACAGAATTTGTTGGTAATAGTGAAAGGTAGACGTTACAATCCACTATCCTTTACTATTTTCCCATTTGTCCAATCCACATTCATATCAACTGTACGGATTCCAGCATTTCTAGCATTCAACTCGTTTCCTCGCATCGATTATCGATGAAGGTCCTCAGACTTTCCACACCTGGATTCGGATACTGCTTAAGGACTGTCGTCTTCTTTATGAATGCCGCTGAATGCTTAGATTCTCCCTGGAGTCATCAGACAGCCACGCTAAAGCGTTCCAACTTTACTGCAGAAAGTAAACTCTCCCCATAAAAGTCTGGTGAAAGAATTCCCGACCCTGGGGGATGAGAGGATTGGTGAGCCTAGGGTGACTCAATTACAACCGTGCTTGTGGTGAATGCCATCACTACCACTGCTCTATCCATCTTCTCATAAATCATTAAAATTCTACTAATTCAGTAAAAACCACTACAAATGGGAATTGTTGTCAGAAAACCCATCAGCAAAATCCACCCAAAAAACGGTTGCTACAACTGTTTTGAGATACATTTGAAGTTTAACGTGAAATCCGCTCGGAAAACGGTTAATTCGACGGCTTTGAGATATATTTACTAAGAGTTGCAACATCGGTTAACGATATTGGTCAATCAGATGGAATTTATTTTGTTGCAAAAGCAAGAATTAAGATAGGATACTCTGCCTCACCCCAGCTTGCACATTGGACCTCCGGCAAACCTCTTTTCCAAGACTTTCGACAACTACTTTTTCAAAAAAAATCAGCTACAGGTTAAAATGTCTTCGGTACATTCGTGAACACCAATTTACCTATCAAGAGATAAATGAATGTACACGAGAGAAAAAAATTACAAATCGTGCAAGTAATAAACCAAATTGTGGCAGATCTTGCTTTAATGAAAAATAGTTCCCAAGATCGACTTTCTCTTAACCTCGGCATTGGAATATGAATGTGTCGTTTTCTTGTTCAGCAATCGCGAGGTTTTTAAACAGCATACATTTACTTCCATAAAAACACAATACAATACAACGCTAGCTGACGTTTCGGCAGTATCGCCTTCTTCAGAGCCGCTTTTTCGTGACTTCCAATGAGGAATTCCTCGTCAGAACGTCAGCTAGCGTTGTATTGTATTGTGTTTTTATGGAAGTAAATGTATGCTGTTTAAAAACCTCGCGATTGCTGAACAAGAAAACGACACATTAATGAAAAATATTGTTTGAAATTGCAAGCCTGTTTCTAATTTTTGGATATTCAAAATCCACACTGTAGTGTTATACTATTACATAGAGACATTAGAAAAAATAAAAGACAAAGCTCTCGGAGTTGACCAAACCCTGAGTGATGCGCCATGGATTATACTTCAATAAGCATGGTTAGAAATGATTGAATGCATATTTCACCTATATAATGACTTGCGGTGGCCTGCCGTTGTATCGAATCAGTGCTATTATCCTCCGGAACAAGTCTGCTATCAATTTGCCCACCCGAAGGGATGGCAGGCTTGATGAACCTTGGGTGCGAGGATAGATCCCATGTGCATTGCAGGGCACCTCAGGCCACTGCGCTACACGTCACATAGGGAGATAGTCATCGAAAAATACACTGTGTACCTGCTAATGCTCCTTTACGTGAACGCTAATTATGGTGCTTTAAAGGTAACGAATGACTTGAACAATGACCAACCGCACTTTCAGTAGTCACTGGCAGTGGTACCCACTGTAGTCGTCCAGCACGATATTCACCAACAAACTCATTTAATACTGCTTCCGAAACGTCCGGTCGTTCACATACACACAACTGACCGGCTAATCCATCTACTATGCATATTAAAGGCAGTTCAACGTCGCCCAGACCAAGAATAGACTCGAGGATCTGAAAATTAAGCTGTCGTTTTTTTCATGAATTGAACCCGCAACCTGCTGCTTGGGTAAGATTTTCATCGACTGCAAAGCCATGTCATAACATTCCCAAGCCAGCATGCCGTCATCATTCGTGATCTAGTGACTGATGCGTTGATAGGATTGCAATGATTCCAACTTTACTTTTAGCTGATTTTACAGATGAAAATGTGGACGTGTATGCGACATAGGAAGAATGTCAAGTATAGTTGTTTTAAGACAGGATTCGCATTAAGGTCTCAGCTCATCAAGAATATGGTAAGGACGCATATATTAGCCATAATATTAGCAAAGAAAATATAGGAATAGAATTAGAATGAAGTAAAATTAGGAAAAAGTATTATGGCAAACTGATAAAAGTAAATGAAATTAAGATATCTGGCTATCGGATAACTCTCACATGATCACAGATCGGATCTTCACCCGTATACAGCAGCTGCAATGGATCCGCCTGCGGAGGTATCGGTAGATCTGACCCCATTGAGCTAAAAATATCGCATTAAGAGAATTTTAAAGCGCATTTATTCACGAATGTGCCAAAATCTAATCTAATTCATAAGGAGCATTAATTACAAGTTGGACTAAAAGTGAGAAGCGTTTTAGCATTGTTCTTGCTGAACCATGTTTCCAGAACAGAACAGCACCTGCACTCCTCACTACTGGCAGATTTAGAGATCCCACTGCTTGGTTCAGAGTTCTCATCGCTTTTCCTTTCAACCTCTTCGATACGACGCTCTGCAATCTTTAACCGTTCCTCAAAAAGCCGCTTTGATAGCGTGTCCATCACAGACAGGGAAAACTGTATGTCGTCCGGCGAACCTTCTAAAACACACTAACGTCTTCGAATATAAAAACGAAAGATTGAGAGCAACTCGAATTACACAAAAATATGTGTTATATGAGACGGAAACGGAATGCTTTAGATGAAATTTGGCTCGAACTTTTTCCTCCGAAAAGCAACACATGAACATAAACTATCGAACCTGTAAAAAGTATTAGTGATGGCTCATCTCTCAGGCGACAAACTGTGAATTCATTCAGTTCGTACAACGGACGAGGCCCCCAGGGGAAATAAGTGCCATCCGAATCCTCCAATAATGACGAGCGACCGTGATTCGTTATAACACGCCCAGCGGAATCGAGAAGAATCAAGGATGGTATACCTGAAATTGATGATGTTTCCACGAATACGTTTTAAAAAGGATATAACTGAGATGAAAAGTTAGATGAGAAAAATGAAATTAGAAGAAAATCTCCACAAGCTTACCACTGATATTAAAGACTCTCGTTAGCGCGATAGTTTTAGATGGGTCGTAAGTGAATGAGTACCAAGGCATCTGAAATACAAATGTTGTCAAAAAGGTGTCTCACTACCAACTTGCTATGGTCTTAGAGAGTAACTTTTTGCTCTAGGATTTGAAGACCATTTTATCCCAACTCACCCACCGCTCATTAAATTAGCGGCTTTCAACAATCTCACAGTGCCTTCTCCTATTCTCTCAAAAAGTTGTGCTCATTTTCAAAATTCTTCTCGACTCACAAACTCCAAATGCTGGATTACAAATTCCCAAACTGTTCCAGATACCAGAATTCTCTGGCAAGATAAAAGCACTGGTGTCAGGCCCCTATAGAAACTATTAGGAAATTATATCTTTCTACTTCTGTTCAGCAAACACGAGGTGCTATTTTATTTCTTTATTTACGCACAAGCTGACGTTTCGGCGGATTTCGCCTTCCTCAGAGCCTGGAAGGGTCAAGTTGACAGCAATCCACTCGGCCAAACACCTCCATAACCAAACAGGGAAAACGCTAAACCAAGATTTCAAACACATTTAGCATGGCTCTGCACACTCACCGCTTTCTATGAGTCTTCCACTGAGTATGTCGCATGAAGACCGACCGCACAGAATTCACATGGAAGCGTAATGTGCCTCTACCCATCAGAGTAACAGGTTTATATACTGTCCAATATCACGCGTGATAACAAGGCATTCCTCCCTGCGGTTCATTTTCGGATTCTTGGAATTTATCCAGAATGCCTCTAGAGTTTTGCGCGCTTGTGTTCTCGATTCTTGCGCGAGGATCGTAACCCTTACTTCAAAATCTTCTCCGTTATGTTTAGGAAAGAATTAGGAAATTCTTTACCCTATATTATCACCGCGTTTCCTATATGTACACTGTGCTACAAGGTTAAACTTTTAGTAGTACGTGCAGAATGTGTCACAGCAGCTGACTCAATTTCTTACCTCATAGCAGGCTGCAATTTGTTCGTAACCCTTTTGTATGTCAACATCCTCATGAACGTAAAAAACGTTCGTTAGGAATGGTCGCGTCTTTTGCAGTAACAACTGCCTTCTGCCGGTATTAAGCAATCGCATAAAGAATCATATGTGAATTCAAACGGCTTTACAATGCTTAATGGAGCCCGATGAGTGGTGTAGCTTTGTAGGATTGATCAACGTAGAACACACTCTTTGCTACAGAAATATATGTAGTGGGGTAAAACAAAAAGCCTTCGGCGTTGATCCATTCCTTAGAGAGACATTATGCATTCAACTCCATTCATGGCATCGCTAAGTGGCTGAATGCTTGTTTCGCCAATACAGTGAAATGTAGGGGCATATCGCTGTATTATATCGCTTATCTTAGACAAATCTGGTACCAATTTGCATACCCCGAAGAGATGAAAAGTTTGCTGAGACCGAGACGCGGGATCTAACCAACAACTAAGCCACTGTGCATTGCAGGAAATCTCTAACCATTGGGCTATACGGGTTCCTCTTCATAAAAATGTACATGTCAGCATAGTAAGAGGAAATATAGGGAACATGATATTTTCGAGATATTACAACTTTATATCTAATCTAAAGAAGCAAGGTTTCACCTTATGAAACTTCTAAAATTGCATTAGATTCGCCAGCTCCTTGAGCTTGAGAATTGTTTTAAGAACGTTAGCCATACCTGTGTGATGAATTGATCAAATGCTTCTTGTGTCCGATCAGAAGAGCAAAATACAATCTCTAATGAGATTCCTCCTGCCTTCATCTTCTCGTATACGGGTACCAGTTGCTTCACCCATTGACGGCATGGAGGACACTGGAAAAACCCTTCAAAAGAAAACATACTAATCAACGATAGAACTTTTAGAATAACACTTGAATCTCTCTTGGGTGCCCAGCATCTCAATGGATTACAAACCAAGCTTTCCGATTGAAGAGACTTAAAAGCAAGAGAAAACCTCGGCGAAATAAGACATTGATTGTAAGAGTATACAGAATATCTCAATAAATACACATATACACCCTTTTCAATTCGCACTTCCTAAAAGCCTAAGTGAACTTTATGGAACAAAAAAACGTACATAAAGGACGATATAAAGCGAAGCAAATAATTCTCATCTTAGTGATTTTCTTCGTATTTTTGTTGAGCAAACGCGAGGTGTTACTATTCTTTGTTCACGATTAAGCTGACGTNNNGGCTCTGAAGAAGGCGAAATCCGCCGAAACGTCAGCTTAATCGTGAACAAAGAATAGTAACACCTCGCCTTTGCTCAACAAAAATACGAAGAAAATCACTTGATCAATGCCGAGGCTAATAGAAAGTCGGTCGTGGCAGTTTCTCATCCTAGTGTTTTTCTTGATAAGCAAACACGAGTTTGGAATTGCAACACTTATTAAAACAGAACAGCTGACGTTTCGGCGGTTCCTCCTTCTTCAGAGCCGTTTTGCTCTGTGTCAGTATTCCAACTATTTGATGGAGACCAGACATTTCTCGACCATGTAATACTCTGTGAAGCCAATCTCTGCCAAATAACTGGAAGACCTACAAAGAGTAAAATGGACCCAAAAAACGAAACCGCTAGAATGTCAGCTATTTTGTATTAATAAGTGCTACAATACCAACCTAGTGAGTGCTCGCCAAGAAAAAACAGCGAATTATTGATCAATGTCGACAATGTCGAAGTCATAATAAAGTCGGCGTTGAGATACCTATCTTAATATGTATATAAAAGTATTGAACTTTACCCATTGTGCGCCAAACAACAATCCACGGACAGTTGCCTTAATTGCGGAAAAATCAGAGACTTCTACTGCCCCATTTACGCGACGCAAGGTGTTTCCGCTAAGCACCTCAGATACAGATGGAGGCCACCTGAAATTGTCGACGGATATCAACTAAAATTTACTAACACATGAGAGAATTAAATAAGCTAGTTTGAGCAGTAAGCCTTATTGGTGTATTCCTAAGTGGCGAACTGGACGTTAACATAAAAAGTTCCAGAACGACTTTATACTTAAATTCAGCTCCAGGTGGATTTAGCAAAATTGATTACTCGTCATCCATGTGTCTCTGCACTATCTGTATTCACTTAAACATATCAATGAATAAGCAAGCGGATGGATGCCCTTGTTTGTACACAAATTGTATCCTTCACTTTAATTCCGCTAAAACGACGCAACCAATAAATAAGTCAACTTATCAACATTTGAAAACACAGAGAACAAATACTGTGACTGAACGCACTGGTCTACATTTGTGAAGCGACAAACGTCTGATATTGATCGCAAGTTATTAAGGTAATCAACACGTCCATGTTTACACGCACCAGGATTGTGGACCAGTAGTAGAGAAATCCTTTAATGAGGAGTATCTTCACATTTTAGCCTGTCCGATGATGTCATATTTCATCTCAGATTACCATGCTAGCATCCATGCATTCAAACTGGACATAGTCAACATCTTATTTTTTTACATAACTCGTCTTCACATCATTTGTGCGGATCCCAACACTCCCTGCATACTCTTCGGTTCCTCGCATCCATCATCCAACGTCTCCAAACTATTCGCGTGTTCTTTTTGCTGCTACTTGAAGATTTCGTCTTCTTTATGAATGTCGTTAAATGGTGATCGAGTTGAATCACCACAGAGTTGTGGAATAGCCGGATTAGAGTGTTCCCACTTAGGTTGCCGGTAGGGAACTTTTCCCAAACAACTCTAACACTAACTTCCCGGCCCTGAAGGGATAAAAGGTTTGCGTGTTCGGAACGGTATCCAACCACAACCGCACGCATAATGGACAGCACCACTATCACTTTTCCAGGAGCTGAGAGAAAGGCGAAACGAATGAACCACATAGTGTGGTGATGAACGCGTTAGTACTCGGAAAGGGTAATAGCGCGTTCGTTCTCCACCGACGACACCTGCGGTCTGGTGTTTGCAAATATCTCAGCAACATTGTGGTTGTATTTTCCAGGATAGTCATCACAGTGCTTCCAAATTTATGAGTTGAACTTCAATAGGACAATGTGATATCGAGGCTTTTATAAAATGAGAATAATGAGTTCACTTGTTTTTATAGTTTTTGATAACATACGTTGATTTGCAGCTTCCAAGCTTCGTAATGGTCTGGTGTACACCGAACCATGAGCATGTGTGCGTATATATATATATATATATATATATATATATAATATATATACATATACATGTGTATATATGTGTATGTATATGTATATATATATATATATATATGTATATAATATGCACATACACATATGTATGCAGAGAACTCACCAAGGAAACGACGTTCCATTTATATCATCGGCCAACAGACGTCGCCCTTCCGTAGTCACTACGGTTCGTGATCCTGCATCGACAACGATTAATGACGGCGGAAATTCGAAGCCTAAGGCTCGTAAAAGGCGGCTCTGCAAAACAGATGAGTCCTTTACTTAGTTTCGACCTCAACCGTTGCATGGCAAAACAGCTGAGCCATGACCTAAGCATCTTGTTAAGTACGCGTCGTTGAAAGTAACCAGTAATAAATAATAAAACATAGGAAGCATGTAACTACATATATTCATAGTGTTAACGCTGAAGTTTACCGTATGGTTTTTCCAGCAGCATATAGAACTCATATTACGATTTATTGCCGTATTAAGCGATTCGCAACGATACTGGTTTTTCGATGACTACCAATGATTTTTGAATAATAAGGGTTCGTGACAACCTGAGAACTTGAAAGACTTGTAGAGAGACGATGATCTCGGACTAATTTGGATACTTGGATGGCCTGTCCTCACTGGTTGTGCGGGCCCCAGCATATTCTCTATTTTTCCGGAGTTTTGCTGGTCCAGCCATTGTGGTCCCTTAGAATCCTGAGGTTAGCGTGGCCAAAGTCTGCCCCAGGTCGTCAACACCACAAACAGTCGTCAGCCCTTGTGGATCAAGAGATTGCCACCATGCGACTAGTTTGACGCCGAGACGTTGGTGGTTCCTGGTACTGGTTTACTCTTAGCTCGGTTTCCTGATGGAAACGCCGGACTCCTTCTCAGCTTGGGAGACACTGCCGTGTGGACAAATCCCCCCGCTGTATATCGCAGCCTGACACCCAAGGCCACTTCCCAGCCATGATGAGGCGATGAACGTATGGGAGGGAGGCGGTGCGCCGAGCTGCTGGCGCGCGATGCATTGGCTTGTCGTCTGAGCGGGCGCTCTCTTCCCGCTCCTTCCCTCCATCTCTCCGTCTTTCTCCCGGTCATCCCTCGTCCTTCTGTTTATTTAGTAAATATCTCAGCAACCGTGGAAACAGCACGGAGATCGAGAACATTGTGGCGAATACGATTTATATCAAGGCCAAACAGAGTGGAAGTCAAAAGAGGGGAAAGAGCAAGAAGTGGAAGAATTATCTACAGTTTACCCATTACACCGAGTGTTTATCGCTGCGTTCTGAAACAGATGTCACTTACTTGTATATCGTTGAACGCCAACCGATTGGAAAGCTGCTGTACCAATATTTTTGTGAGCATTGGGTCACTAGTTCTTCCAAGCATGTCTTTTTTAAACAAGGTTGAGGAATATGAGACTTATGACGACGATAAGCAGTGTCGACGAGAATTAGCACGAGTTATTGAAAGTCTTCTTGCACCTGGTGGTGATACTCCCTCATCATCGCAAAACAATAACAACCAGTAGTGATTTTTTTCGTCCGGAAAACGTGATAGCATCTGTTCTTGCTACTGCCGATTCGGCTACGCAAGATGAGGGACCTCGGACAGATCTCGGACTAACGGTTTTTTGAAGTACTAAATCCATTTAAACTCAATCTAAGATTTACAGCTTTGAAGATAATCAAGTTACCAAAAATTTCAATCCGGCCGCAGTAGCTGTAGACTTGAAATGTGAATCTAGGAACATCACTGTGTCATGTTCCAGTTCATTGAGTAGCTACGCTGCTCGAAATGCGCGTTCGGCGGAAAATGAGGGTAAATTGAAAATTTGCCGACTCCACAGTTTAGGAATTTCATTGAAGTGGAATAAAAGAAACAGTTAATATAAATAAGGACTCACCTTTGTAGCTGGCAGCTGTGGTGCGTAGACATACCAACCAGGTTGGGCGAGTTGCGAACAGCCACTCTCGTCGTAGTTTGACCGATAGTTAGTGTCAATCAAAATAACTGAGATGAGGGTCGGGTCACTGAAGACATTTCCATTCTTCTTCTTTTTCTTCATGTTGAAGAAACGGCGAATTCGAGCTGGCGAGCTAAACAAGGAGCAATTTAAATAACTCACTGTTACAGTACTCAGATTGCCATGCGCACGACCTTCATAAGACGAAGAGGTCTTCCATGACTCATAGAAGGTCTATATGAATAAACACAGAGATTTCTCAGGTTAAAACGTTCAGTAAAAATAAAGCTCTATTCTTAAAGGGAAAAGCAAAATTTCTAACCGCACTATCGAGATGTGGCTGGCAACTGCGCCTTGTTTCCACTATCATTTAATTAAAACTTATCGAACACTGCATATTTCAATAAAACACTATTACTGCAATATTCTTAAAGCCTAAACGTAGACCTACAAAACTTGAGAATGATAACATTTGGCCTAAGAACTAATAGCGAAAAATACAGAATTTAACCCATTTCAAAAATACATGCACATTGATCCAACATATATTTAATAATTGATGTTCGGAAAGCCCTTCATTATAACTCTTTCACACCCGCGCATAATTTGCATCTTATTCTTCGCGATCGTTGCCTACCGATGAATTCTGCTCCATATAAGGTGACACCAGTGAGGATTATTTGATAGATCGTAACTCGCATTCAGTCGAGAATAAAAACTATCCTTACATTAAGACATATAGTTCCACCCACGCAAAGGTTCCTACCACGCCGGTTCCTTTAAGACAGTCGATAGTGTAAGATGGTCCATGAAACGAAACCGTAAAACTGATGAAAACCCATTAAAAAAGATAATATCTATCTCATTCGCTGCATTTTAACTGCATTTCCTAACCACGTGGCATGCGTTGATACATCACATATTTCAGTACCGCAAAAAAAGTCGGGATTTGTTCTTCCCCTCTCAGTTTCACTTCTTCAGCATACTCCATCAACTAGGAAAGTTGCCAGACCCACCCACTATCGCTCTTTCACATCAGTGGAATCCATCATCAAACGAGCGGGCGATTTTGATCGCCGCCACCAGCTCCAAACATGTTTTACTCCTTCAGAAAAACTTTACAGCAGAGTTTTCAAACGCATAAAACCCTTTCCAATAATTTCAACGTTATTCCTTAAATATGTTATATTCACGGACCTACCAAGAATTTCATCCCTGCAGGGTCGCCAATTCTAATGCAACACGACATTGTCAATTGTGTCCATGCATCTGCTCTTACTACCGCTTAAAATTTGTGGAGCACCTGTAGCAAACTGCTGACTTAAATTTTTATTACACCTCAGGCATCTTTTTATATGCCTAAATAAATCTCTCCTTAGACAAAACAGCAAGGGCTATCAACTTCAAATAGTGGCATTTAGTGAGTAGAGCGTTAAGCAATAACACAAAAAATAACCGCTGTAATATTCTTTCACTGAGATTTTTATTCTTCGTATTTTTGTTGAGCAAACGCGAGGTGTTATTATTCTTTATTCACAAATGAGCTGACGTTTCGGCGGATTTCGCCTTCCTCAGAGCCTGGAAAGGTCAAGTTGACAGCAATCTACTTGGCCAGACGCCTCCATAACCAAACAAAGAAACTCTAAACCAAGATTTCAATCACACTGAACACAGCTTTGCACACTCACCGCTTTCTATGAGGTCTCCACTAAGTATGTCACGTAGAGACCAACCGCACAGAAATCACATGGAAGTATAATGTACCCCACTCATCAGAATAGCAGTCTTATATACTGCCCTACATCACGCGTGATAATGAGGCATTCTTCCGTGCTGTTCATTTTCATTTTTTCTAAAAGTTGACTTACCAACATGCCCCGTCTTGTACTTACTTATAAAAACTCATAATTTCCAGAAACATCTGGGTATTCGTAAGATGGGCTGGAATGTGTTTCAACAACTGGTTAAATATCAGGGTTAAAAACCGTGTTATCCTGTCCGTTGGCCCGTCTACGCAGCTAATGATACGTCTAACCTTAAATAGTGATGGATCGGTAGACGCAAGATCATCGCTGGATACTAAATTATGAGTTTTTATAAGTAAGTACAAGACGGGGCATGTTGGTAAGTCAACTTTTAGAAAAAATGAAAATGAACAGCAGGGAAGAATGCCTCATTATCACGCGTGATGTAGGGCAGTATATAAGACTGCTATTCTGATGAGTGGGGTACATTATACTTCCATGTGATTTCTGTGCGGTTGGTCTCTACGTGACATACTTAGTGGAGACCTCATAGAAAGCGGTGAGTGTGCAAAGCTGTGTTCAATGTGATTGAAATCTTGGTTTAGAGTTTCTTTGTTTGGTTATGGAGGCGTCTGGCCAAGTAGATTGCTGTCAACTTGACCTTTCCAGGCTCTGAGGAAGGCGAAATCCGCCGAAACGTCAGCTCATTTGTGAATAAAGAATAATAACACCTCGCGTTTGCTCAACAAAAATACGAAGAATTACTTGATCAATGCCGAGGTTAATAGAAAGTCGGTCGTGGGAGTTANAGATCATCGCTGGATACTAAATTATGAGTTTTTATAAGTAAGTACAAGACGGGGCATGTTGGTAAGTCAACTTTTAGAAAAAATGAAAATGAACAGCAGGGAAGAATGCCTCATTATCACGCGTGATGTAGGGCAGTATATAAGACTGCTATTCTGATGAGTGGGGTACATTATACTTCCATGTGATTTCTGTGCGGTTGGTCTCTACGTGACATACTTAGTGGAGACCTCATAGAAAGCGGTGAGTGTGCAAAGCTGTGTTCAATGTGATTGAAATCTTGGTTTAGAGTTTCTTTGTTTGGTTATGGAGGCGTCTGGCCAAGTAGATTGCTGTCAACTTGACCTTTCCAGGCTCTGAGGAAGGCGAAATCCGCCGAAACGTCAGCTCATTTGTGAATAAAGAATAATAACACCTCGCGTTTGCTCAACAAAAATACGAAGAATTACTTGATCAATGCCGAGGTTAATAGAAAGTCGGTCGTGGGAGTTACTGAGATTTTTACTTGATACTTGATCCTTGATACTTGAATGGCCCGTCCTCACTGGTTCTGCCGGGCCCAGCACAAACCCCATTTTTCGGAGATTTGCTGGTTAAGCCATTATGGTTCCCAGGAGTCCCGAGGTCAGCCTGGCCAAAGTCTGACTCAAGTCTTCACCACCACAGGCAGTCACAGCCCTTGTGGATCAGAAGGAGATTTACTAGCATACTTGAAACTTGAGCGGCCTGTCCTCACTGGTTGTGCGGGCAGCAATATAATCACCATTCATCGGAGATTTGCTGGTTGAGCCATTGTGGTTCCCTGGAATCCCGAGCTTAGCCTGGCCAAGGCCTGCCCCAGGTCGTTAACACCACGAGCAGTCGCAACGCTTGTGGGTCAGAGGTCAGATTTACTACCATGCGACTTCGATACCAGAGGCGGTAAACCGTTGGAAGGCACTGAGATCTCTATTTTGATAAAACAAAAAAAGAAAAGTACTGGACAACGACTTAATATGTCATAACATAGAGCTAAATAAACAACATCTAGAAGAAAACTGGAGCGTTTTATTAAGGAGAAATATCGAAGTAACGTTTTTCAGCGCTTTAATTTTTACAATTGATCGAACAGGACGAACCAACCTACCCAGAGAATGTCTGACAACGCACTGGCCCACCAAGCCACTCATCCCTCCATGGCGAGATTACTAGCAGACTTGTCCGGGTGAACCTACTGTTTTTAATCCACGTGAGAGCGCCTTGTCCTGGCTATCCCAGGGTTACAGAAAGAATGGTCTCCACCAGCATTCACCAATATCCGTAACGTAGAAAAACTTGGCTTTGACTGCTGCTTGAGGATTTTCATTTCATCGTGAATGTCCTAGAATGCTGGTCGAGTCGATTCTCTCTGGAGTCCTGAGATAACCGTGCTAGAACGTTCCCACTTGGATTTAAAGAATGATTTTCCTCGGACAACTCCGATACCAATTTCCCAAGCCTGGAGGGATGAGGGGTTTGCCGGACCCGATGCGGGATCAAACCAGCACTGCGTTCGTGATAGCCGGCACCACTACCACCGTGCTAACCGCCTCTATACTATTTCACAGTAGGAGCTTGTAAACAAGAGGTATTACCAGAAACGGTCGCACTTCGGAAGCAACAAACAAAAACAAAGCTTGTTGGAATCTAATTCAGCCGTGCAACTGGCAGTACTGTTTCCGACCTGTCCAGAAACCACTTTAAGAAGCAAGAAACGACAAATGCAGCAAAAGTAGCATTTCTTTACCGCACAGATATGTAGCAATAATTCATTTTTATTTCATCCCAGATGAAGAATGAGATAGAAAGTATAAAAAAATACTGCATAAGAAACAAAAACAAAAATCGAGTGTTCAGACTATAGTTTTGATCCTTCTCACAATTCCAGAACATCCTGGAATATGTTCTATGAAGGTCGATAAGAGCATTTCATACTTTCCTTTTCACTGTGAACTTGCTTTATTCTATAAACGCCTTCAGAAGTCTGTGTCTGTGCGTGAACGACTCACGCATTACAATCAAGTAACGAAATCAGCCAATGGCAGATCCTTACGAAACGACGACGGTTATAACTCTTCCAAAAATTGTTCAGTTTACGATCAGATCTAGTTCCAAGCCATTAGGATAGTCTGACACAATCGTCATAGTCAATATGAAGTCACAACTGCTAATTTTGTAAAACTTGTAACGTATAATTTATAACGTAGAACTTGTAATTTCTACCGGTACGGTGAATGATTCTACTTCATATAACCCGTAGTGAAACAAATCTGTTTAACAATCCAACTGCGAAACTCACGCAATGATAAACTTATTCTTCTTCTTAAAAACGATATAGATTGCTCACCTGTGCGTTTTGTCTTTGTCTCCTCTTTCATTCTTTTTGCGTACCATATTGTCGAGCTTTAAGCTTATATCAGCTCCTTTGATGCCAGCAGTGAGGAAGAATACAATGTACTGGCTGTTGCTCATCACATGATCGAGAGTTACTAGCAAAGAAGCATCATCCTTCCCCTTAATGGTTGATATGTCTGCATTGGATTTAGAATGATGAACCAAACAAATACACACCGGCTTCCCACTCGGGACCTTCACGAGTGATGCATTTCGAAAACAGCTCTCATAAAGCTCATCAAATAACATCTGAAATGAAGTACATCGAACCTATAGGCATCAAAATTCCAACATAAAGACGAGATGAACAAATAAATAGATTGGCGACACAAACAACTAGTGTCAGAGCGAATATTTGAGTATCAGAAAAACTGTACCAGAAAAAGACCAATGACTTTTTCACTTTGTGATCTTAAGCAGCCAAGCAATTGGTTTTACCCTTCGGTAACGAAGCTGGGTTTCTTGACAATCGACGATAATTTCTCGATCAACAAAATATTTCAGGAATTCAGGAGTCAACAGAAGAGAATCTGCTCTCTCACATTAACCACATATATATATACTTATTTATTCATTTATTTATTTATACAGTCCCCTTCCAAATTCAAACACGCTTTAGAATCCGAAATTTCGAAAGACCGGAAATGAAATTTAGGAGCTTTAAAATATCCAGAGAAAGAGCGGAAGCTTCAAACAGAGAACAACACAGTGTCCTGTTAGACGAAATCCCACTGGCTCATATGCTCTTATGTTCGAAATATGAGCCTTAAAGCAAAAAAGTGGAAGGAGTATATGTCGTCGGCTTCAAAAAGTCGGAATTTCAACAAGGTAAAACAAGAACATCCATCATGTAGGCAGACAGAGATTTGAGAAATTTAGTAGTTTTTATTGCAACTGATAAAATTAACTACAAGCTTAGATATATTGATTTAAAGCTGATAGAGGCCACAATTTTCGTAGCGCGTGACTCCTATACGGGTCACATTGTCGTGCAGGGGTTAACATGCCGAAAGCGAAAAATTATGACTCTTAAGTGTGGTGGGACGAAAGTTTTCGGAAAAACGACACAATGATAGAAAGATCTACGGCGAAGAGGAATAAAATACGAATATTTAGAAAAGAAAATGAAGCCATTTCATAAAGTCCTATATGAACATGAAAGTAGTGAAGAGAAACTGATGAAAAAACATCTTTACTAAAAGAAATCTCTGATATAAACGATGACGTCACCAATGGACTCAAAATAGTAGCTGAAAGTAAAAATTGAGACCACACTAACGGCCATAGATTCAATAAATAGCACAAATCGTACGCGTCACATCCTCGAACACACTCGATCAATAGCCCGCCAGAAGCGATGAGTGCTTTGCGTGAATGTAGACCCATTTAGAACAAAGAAGTCGCTTGGTTATTCTTCTACTGATTCTTTATCCTTTCAACCACAATATCATAATCCAATATGGCTTCGTCTTAGAAAGGTCACTAGTAAACAACGATGAGTCTATAAGAGTAATTGCTGTACGTTATTAATGCGCTTCCTAGTGGCATTTCGAAAACGAATAAGAAAGCGAGAACAGATTGAATTTCCAAACCGAGCTGAAACGATTGAAAACCAAGAAATTTCGGACCTGATAGCGCTATTTATATAAAAATTCTAGCTGTCCTGTGACATGTTGATCTGACCAGCTAACTTTGTTGAGATGACGTGAGAATGCTGCCGATTGTGTGATTCGATGTCTGACGTTTCGGCGACTACGCCTTTCACAGGCTGGACGTATTTTATGTAACGGTAACGCTATCCATACCTTTCCGTGAAGTATCTGCATTATTAGTGAAGATCTATGAACATCAGGATTTTAAAAACCACTCACCCTTTGGGAAAGTGTGAGACCCGCATGTTCGTCACGTCGTATGAAGAATGATACACAGCCACATTAAAAAAAATTATTCTGAGAAAAGGCACCAGATCAAGTGCGATAGCGAGACATTTGTCCTTTAGATTCCTTTTGGATTTTTGAAATTAATCCAAACACTTCGAGAGTTTTGGGCGTTTATGTTTTCGATTACAGCGTCGGCATCGTGACAGTAGCTCAAAATCATCACCGTTGTGTCCTTCTGCTCTTCTTGAACTTTTAGTTTTCGTGAAGATGTTGTTCTATGCAGACACAAAGTGGTCTGTCCATTTCACCAACGTACTCTTAACTGCATGCCTTACATGAGACTAATAATGTATCCAATCCCCGTATGCCGTTGGACAGATCGCGCAATTTTCCGAGCTACGTAGACGATCATAGACAGTTACAGACGTAGGGTATTAGGTGGGAGGTTAACAACTGCAACAGAATTTTCGAGCGCCACTTCTTTCGTTTGATATAAAAGGTAGTTTGAAAGAGGTATTATTTAGGTCTAAGATATTGTTTTGGGGCAAAACCCTACCTTCTGATCTAGTCCGAGTGGCTTCTGCTTCGTTTCCTTCCATCTTCTCCTGTGCACGCATTTTTCGCCATTCGGTATATGTTCTTGATATGTGGTTCTTTTAGTTCTTTTCATGTGTGAAGAATGAGAGGAGAGGTAGTGCACTAGTTTTTACTACTTAGTTTTGGATACCACTTTTGATGCAGCCGTTTTCCAAAAACTTTGTTTGAATGTTCAAGAATAGAAGCCAGTTCCTGTTAGGTTTTTTCTCTCGTAAAACTCATTTACTCTAACTGTTTATTTGACAATTCAAAGCATTTGCTCATCTCTCGTTGTGAGGAGCACATAATGATGAGCTTGTATAAAAACAGATGATAGAGTAAAGGTCGGTGGTGGAGAACTGCAGCTTCCACCTTAGATATTAAGGCGTTGACAGAGTTTGGTGCTAATCGGTGTCCCATGGTTAAACCTCTAATCTGTGTAAAATGTCTTTCCGACCATCTAAGGATTGAACAACTAAGACATTACGTACAACTTTTCATTTACTGCCTACTATTTTTTCACGGCAGAGAATTATGTGAAGCACAATCACAATGACGCTGAGAGATTTGCAAAACTCAGATCCCAGGCCAATTAGGTTCGAACATACGATAACCCTTTTCGGGGGCTCACAAAAAAATCATGCGCGGTAAATAAAAAGTTATACATCGCGATTTCAACCACAGCCTCAGCTTAGATGGGTTCAATGGCGATTTGTGCTCCCAAGATCATTTCCTTTGACGAGTGATTGCTGATAGCACCGTTAGGGTAGAAAACCGGCAGAGAGAAGGGCAAATTTGGGCCTTAGCGATGCAGTGGGTAGCACATAAGCCCCTGGCAAGGGAATCGTTGGTTCGATATGGCCTGGTGTAGGCTGATATGGCCATAGTTTCGCAAATACTTCATCATCATTGTGGTTGCATTTAAACTAAAATGTTGTTTTAAGAGAGCTATTAGCTGTCGAATAGATAAGTCACACATATTTATCCAGAGGCTTAGATTAGAGTGCTCGTCATGAGACACCGATTAGCACCATGCCCTGCAATCAATCGCCTTCATGTCTATGGTGGGAACACCAGTTGTCAATCACCGATCTTTTTTACTCTACCGTCGATAGATAGACGGCTGCTTAATCGTATGCTGACAAGAAGAGATGGAAAAATGATTTGAATTGTTGAATAGACAGTTAGAGTAAATAAAAGTTAAGCTAGGAAAGCCTAACGAGAACTGGTTTCCATTCTTAAATATCTAAATAAAACTCGTATGTAATGCTGAGATATTTGCAAAACTCCAGACCACAGGTGTATGCGGTGGGGAACGAACACGCGCTGTTGTCCTTACAGGGAGCAGCGCACTTCACCGCCACACCATCCGGGTATCTAAATAAAGCTTTAAAATAGTACCCACATAGTACCACCTTCGTATCGAAAGTCAAGTAGCACAAATATATTAGTACACCACCTGTTCTCTCATCCTTCACGCACGAGAAAAGCGCTCAATAGAGAAACATGTACCGAACGGTTAAAAAAGGGGCACAGAGCAAGATGAAAGGAAAAAGTCGCTATGCTTAGCAAGAAAAATGGTCATTCCCCAGTGGCTGCGAGGTAACAGCCACTCTGGTCATGTCAAAGCTTGGATCATGCCCCAAAATAATGTTTGAAACTTAAATAAGACCCCTTCCAAGTTACCCTTCATACCAAACCAAACAAGCAGCGCTATTAAGAGGTCTCTAAAAAGAAGTGGTCTTGAGAATTCTGTATCAGTTACCATGATACCATCTACTATCCTATGCCGTCGACTAATCCGAAATCATTTCTATAATCGTCAATGAAACATCGAAAATTCACTGACCTACCTTAACACCAGAGAAAGTGATTGCATGAATTGGGGACAATACACTTAATTTGTAAGACATACTGTAAGAAATACATTAACGAAACAAGCAGACCACCTTATGCAAAGTACTCATTCTAGTACTCATAGGGAACAGAGCCACATTGGCTATGACTTTGAAGTGACTGTCATGATCCTGTCCTGGCACAAAAAATCGAAGGCCTCAATAGATGACGTGTACAAGGAAAAGAACCGACTGCATGAACTGCTGCGATTCGCGCACTAAAAGCGAACATGAGCGCTGTAAAATAAATAAATAAGAAACAATAAATCTTTACAAGTTTACCAATAATTTTTGTCATTTGCACTCCTATTAAACCCGAATACATCCAAAATCATCGTCTTTTTTAAACGTACATCTGGATGGTTCATTATATCAGTTAGCCTCTAGTTCATCTCTATGCTTGCCTTTCTCGCCTGCACACTATGCCTTTACTTGTACTAAGATCCAATGCAATATATTTGCTACTTTCAATATAACTTATACATGACAGAATACTTAGTTTTAGGAGATCTTTACAAACAATTTACCCAAATCGACCCCTTTTATACAACCAGCAAAATTTCCATTTCCTTTATTTAATCCTCTTACGTTCAGCAAACGCTTGTACCCTTACTTTAGAAACGGATTACATAGATATATTAGAATAATGCGAAGAGATGAACTTAGCGCCGAGGATCAATATAGTGCTAAAGGCTAGTAAAGGCCAACTAAAAGTCAAAAGACCGTTGAACGTACAACTAAAATCATTCACAATCTTAACCTTTTTATTTACTGCCTACTATAATTTTTTAACGGCAGGGTATCATGTGAAACACAACTAAGATGATGCTGAGATATTTACAAAACTCCGGACCGCAGGTGTCTGCGGTGGAGAACGAACGCGCTATTGTTCTTTCCG